TTAAAAAAAAAAAAAAAAAAAAGACCAGTTATCAGTCAACTCTGCACACATACTGGCCACTCATTTTTAAAGCATCTTTTCTATTTAAGTATGGCAGCAAGTACAGATGTGCCAGAGAAATGATGCTTATGACATTCATTTCAATGATTAAGTGACATTTAATAGGACTTCCTGGCTTCTTCATTTCTATATTCCTAAATGGAATGTAAAGGAAAAATTTATTTAAATCAGGGAAAAGGTAAAAAGCATAATTAAGAGAACAGTCCCAATAAATCTTTGATTTCAGTAAATTTTGAGTAAAAGCAAGTATTTCCTTTGTTAAAGAACATTATGGGGAGATGGAGTTGTCACTACAGAAGACAGAATCAATTTCTGGTCAAAGTTTCTAAAATAGCTACCATGAAATTTCTATGGAAGTGTCACTGACTCACCTCTTGACTCATTCTTACCCTCTAGCTGACTGATATTTCTGTGCCTCTGCTTAAAAACGTTTTGTGGACCCTGCTTCCCTGAAAATAAGATGAAATGCCTTAGTACATGGCAAAAAGGCACGTACATGCTTCATTTCTGATCCCTCCTGGGACTATGCTTATAGGTCCTTTACTGTATCATGTTCTTGCTTAACTTTAACTTTGGGCTTTTTCCTCCTCTAATGCCACCTTGCTTCTCCTGGTGAGTATCTCCTTTCCTCTGAAAAGCCCTCCCTGAGGGCTGGGCTGAGTGCCCTGACATTTTCTCTCATATTCACTCTATCCCAACATGTACGCATTGTTCTGTAACCACTTGTGAGGCTGCTCTTTCCTGTTCACTTGCCTTAGTGACTGCACCTTATATTACCGAGTGAATAAATGAATGAACATTAATTGCTAATTTGCAAAGATGGAGCAATTCCTGTAACCTAAAGCACGTAAGTTTTTTAGGCCAAAGGGTTTGTGTATAGGAAAACTTTAGATGAAACAAAGGTTCTTTGTCAGATCAGATCTCAGATATCTGTTTATACCTGAAATTGCAAGATTATAAAAATACCTTAGAGTTAGAAGGTAACTGACAATATGCCTGGGTTGAAGGTCCTGAGATGATCTATAAAGCACTTCGTCGAACCTACAAGAAAGATGACAGGAGCAGCCATCAGGGGAAGACTGTGCATGTTACACTAAGCTGAGATATTAAGACAAAGATCTAGGATGTAAGGTTGACTTGACATCACTAAGGGTAGAAGGTATATGAAGATAAGACCTTGTGTACAGTTGAAGGTAAAGGCACATTTTTCTCTCCCAAATTCCTTGATGGAAGGTACTTTCTATATCATCATTTTATCCCATAGGCCTAGCTCAGTGCAAGGACTCAAATCATGGCTGTTGAACTGAATGTAAAAGCCACTTAGTGATGTTTAGGAACATAATCTAGAAACTAGCAATCAGAGCCTACCCTCAATGCCAGGAAATCCAAGTTGGCTTGCTTTTCCTCACTAAATCAGCCAAATGTGAGTAAACTAACTCCTGACCATTGACTACTGTGTGGCAATCAGACAAAACTTTTGTTAACCACCCACATCCCTTCCAGAAGCTGATTTCTCCTCACTCGTCTGGCTTCACAAGTGATGCTTGAGAGAGCTCAAAGGTGTGGTCTTTCGCCCTGTATGAGGGCATCAGACAGATGCATATTTGAAACTAAAATGAAACCAATAGGCAAATGAAGGACTTATGGTCTCAGGGAAACTGCGCAAAGGCAGGGATTTTCCTTATCACAGAGGGTGAGAAGATGATCTGTTAAAAAATGAAACTTGTGCCTGGCCAGGCGTGGCTCAGCGGTTGAGCACTGACCTAGGATCCAGGAGATCGGGGTTCGATTCCGGGTCGGCACATGCCCGGGTTGCGGGCTAGGCAGCCAATCAATGACTTGCTCATCATTGATGTTTCTATATCTCTCTCTCCCGTTCCTTTCCTCTCTCTGAAATCAATAAAGATACGTTAAAAAAAAAAACATTAAAAAAAAACAACTTCTTGACCTAGAGCAGAGGTGGGGAACATCCAGCCTGGGGGCTCTACACGGCCCAAGAAATCATTTGGTCTGGCCCTGCCAAGGCAACTGCAGGCGGGACTCAAAATTCAATAAATCTGGGAGCTTTTTTCATAGCTAATTTTTAAGTTGATGGCCCGTGAATGCTATAAATATCCAAATGGCCCTTCACAGAAANAAGTTGATGGCCCGTGAATGCTATAAATATCCAAATGGCCCTTCAAAGAAAAGTTCCCTACCCCTAACCTAAAGGACGGTAGGCCTCTGGGCTAATGCAGTGGTGGTGATATTTTTAAGACCCAATGAGTGACCATTAGCATGCCTGCCCTCTGTGTGCCCTCAAAGGGCAGACAATCACTTTTTGGTCTACCTTGAGGAAAATGCTGTCTAGCGGCAGGAGACAGGAGCTAGCTACTGGCCTGTTCACTCCAGTGGTCAGCAAACCAACAATAGTCATTTTATAACTGGACCCCACAAGCCAGGTCCTCTGCTCATCTCTGCAAGTAAGATCCTCTGTTTTCCTCCTAACAAAGCTATTATTAATGTACCCATTCCCCTGTAGTCATAGGTTGCTTAAGGTTTAAACTGTGGGCCTTAGCAAGACTGACCAGTACCTGGAATAATAACTTGTGACCTGTTGGTCAAACAGCAGTTTCAGGAATATTATAGATAACATCTCAATACAATGTTTCTGCTTCTTCAAAGAAAGGAATGGTCACAGGACAATAATTTACAAACTTACTTTGCAGAAAACAATTGGAGACCCAGTACCACCCCTGACACATGTAACCCTCTGACAGTATCTTAGAATCTACTCCTGTAATAAAAGAGAGGTTATCAAGAGACCAAAGACCACAGGAATTTACTCTAACTCCCTTTTCCCAGCTTAAAAATCCTTACTCTAGTCCAGCGGTAAGATGGATTTGAGGCACCATCTCGGCTGGCTCCTTGATCAATAAACTCCAAATGCTGATGTTTTGAGTTTTGGCCTTTCAGAGCATCAGGCACAAGAACCTGGGTTCAGTAACAATTTCACTAAGCAGAAGCTGACTGAGTA